AGGTCAGTCGGAATCTAAACGCTTTGCTCTTAATCGACAAGAAGGAAGTTTCTATGTATCGCACATGAATCATTTTCTCGTTTTTGGTGCAGGTGTTCAAACGGGAAGATTTGTCCTTTAATTCAAAGATTAAGTGACATTATTATATTTTCAAAAAGAGTGGATTGTTTTTATAACTGTCGCTGTCTCTTGCTAAAGGGAACAGCAGAATTACGCTTTTTTAAAATAATATCAAATTTTATTTTACCAATAAAACTTTACTGCGTTATTTAGCTTGCGATCAGCCTCAAATCATACAATGCTAATTGTCAAGCTAATGCTAAATATAACACTTAGCATTCACAAAATAGTGAATGCTAAGCTATTAGCATGAGGTGCTAATGACGCACGTGAGTGGCTCATCACCGATTCACATTTGTATGTGTGCGTGCTCTTTTAATCCAGCTGGGGAGACCGATTTGGAGATGGGGGCTACATCCGGATGGCCCGCAACAAGAAGAACCAGTGTGGCATCGCTCTGTGGTGCTGCTACCCCACCATGTAGACGGAACCGAGCTCCATCTACTCTCTTCCATGAATACAGTACATTTACACGTTGACTCCACATTGATTAAATCATTTTTAAATCATCTACGTTTTGTTTTCAAAACTCTTTTTAATGCACCTTTTTTTTAAGACGAAAAGCCGAATATGGTAAATCTGTAAATCTTAGTTATTGAACCTGTTTTAACTGCGTCGATGGTGGCGCAGGAAGTAGAGAGGGTGCGCCGGGAAGCGCAAGGTTGGTGGTTTGAACCCTCGCTCCCCTGTGTCCCTGAGCGAGACACCTAATCCCTAATTGCTCTCTGGGCAAAATGCAAAAACCATGTGTTAAATTTGCAATGTAAGTCACTTTGGATAAAAGCATCAGCCAAATGACCTGTAATGTTTCTTTGCAACCGTCTTGATGTATGTGTTTGTTTTGAATCTTTAATAAAGGGACATTTATACACTTTAATCTCCACCTTTTTGGTACTTTTTCAAAACTCCAGTTGTAAAAGGAAATGCTATTCATTCAGTTTGAAGGGTTGGCTGGTGGGCGGGGCTTACTGGAAGTAGCTCGCTGCCTTGGAGAAGTCTGGTCTGGAGGCGTGCACGCTTGCGTCTTGCAACATGAACATTGCGTGTTTTCGGTTCCTGAAAGTCAACTGCAACGTTTTGGTCTTCAGCGCTCCGTCGTGCTTTGCTCTTGTGTCAGTTCTGATTGCAAAAGAAACCCCAAGATGGCGACGGCCACATTGACGAATCAAATCCCCGAAAACCGTAGTCCACAAGGCATCCACCTCCCGTATTAAGTCAATGTTTCCGACACTAACCAGCATATATTATATCATTTTTTCTCTCATTAAACAAGCACCTACAGCCAGCTGCTAGCTAGAGGAGCTAATCTAAAGCTCACTGCATGCCTCATCCGTTTAACACACACCTAAAGCTGTTTACCGTCCTTATGCTGTGCTAACGGAAGAAATAAGAAATAAAATAACATGATTTCGAACAGTAACATCATTCCATAAATCAGAAAAGTATTGTAGCACCAGCGTGTTAAGATTACATTGTAGAGAGCAGCAGATATTAAATACTACTGCGCATTTGTAATGGGATCAAGTGTAACATCACCAACTGGGTTTATTAAGGGGATTTCTTGCATTTGTATGAACATAATGGAAGTTAAGAGTACAGTTTATGACTGCAAAGACGGCCTGCTGGATAACAGCATTTTGCCTGTTGTTGTCCGTCTTGGCCTTTAGAGACCCGGAGAGGCGAGCACCTGGAGGAAGGTCAGAATAAAGTCAACAGGAGGCCGCGGTTGGGTTACAAATGAGTCATTTTTATTTTTTTAGTGCAACATCACAACAAACAATTTTCACATGAGGTATTCAAAGGGATTTTCTTTAGTTGTTGATACAAAATGTCCCACCATGATTGACGTTTAAAGTGTTGTGTATCTTTTTTTTTTTTTTTAAAGCCTTTGGTTGGTTAGCCACATTCATTAGTAAGTCTAACACATGGACAAGAATGGCACGATAAAGCATGGTGGGTCGAGTCCAAGCTGAGGAAAGTCAGACTCGGTCAAATATAATATTTCCCTCAACTCTTCCCCGTTTAAAGCTTTTTGTATGGATTTAATTAATTCCTACTTACAACAGTGGGATCAAACAGTATTTCAACTACACTAAACATTTGGAAAAAACAGGTGTTGAAGGGGTGGCTTACAAATGTGGAAAAATAGCTTCTTTCTCCTCCGACCTTTTTTATTTTTGGATGAGCGCTTGATTTTTGGGCTTTTCTGTTACAGCAAGTCACATGATTCTATTTTTTTGAAGAAGAAAAAAAAACAAGGAATAGGCAACGTTTGATTACAGCAAGATCCTCCTTGCTTGGATTGTCACCTCCCTTCTTTTTTTGGTCTTGAGAATGATTTTATTTACATACAGAACATGTATCGATGGGACACGAGCATACTGGACTCAAGCTTTGGCTGGACGGGGGCCTTGTTTGGCCCCTGTTACGGATTGATTCCAGCACATTTGGTTTTTGGAGTAAAAGGCGTGAAGAAGAGACGGATGGACAGACAAGATAGATAGATAGATAGATAGATAGTCAGACACCCTGACAGGATGGATTCTTTGGTTAAGGAATATCTTTGCCACACAACATCTCACACAGTTGAGGTAGATGGGTAAAGTCTTCATGTACACATGGGGGTACGTGGGGGGGGGGGGGGGGGCACCGGGGTTTACAGAGTCATAAGACTTCCATCTGGAGACACTGCCTCATGTCAGTTTCTCAGTTCCAGCTCAGCGTAATACTGTTTTTTCTGTGACATAAATAATCAGCAGGCGGAACCTCACTGGTGCTTTTCTGAATCCTCTGAGTGCTACGATAGCTCTGATAGGGAACCACTAAAACTACCCATGATGCACAACCCGTCAGCAGTTACCCATCGATCTTTGGTTATTGTTTCTTTTTTTGGTTTCAAACATTATTATTTTATTTTTTTTGGTCTTTTTTTAACTGTGAAAGTAAACATCAGCTTTCCGTTCGGCTATTTCTTCATTCACGCTGCTCTTCGAACGGCCTCGGCTGCCACAGACTCGTTTTTAAGAGTAAAAGTCACTAGAAAAGCCACTAGGGGGCGCCGCAGGCTCAAATGGCAATGCTGATTCACCCCCCCCCCCTCCCCATCTGTACAGAAAGGGAAGAGCTTCCCCTCTTGACACGGAGGAGCAGAAGGTGGCTCAATACAAAAAGCTCTGTCTCCATTTTAGGCTCCCAGTCAGAGAGACAAAGGGAAACCTGAAAGGTGTCACCTCTGCTTTGATACGATGACGGTGGTCTGCAGAGGTTTGGGGGACGAGCCTCAAAGCTCTGGTATTGGTTTTCATTTTTCCTCCCCCCGGAGGAGAGCCCCCCCCCCATCACACACCTCCCCATCACATCCCCCCATCACATCCCCCCTCGCTCTCAGCATGCTTACAATTGTCGCTCATTAAAGTTTAATTCAGCTCCATGCCCCACTACTCCAGCACCTCCTTTTCCTCTAACAGCCCCCCCCCCCCCTTTCCATGTCTCCTACACAAACACACACACACACAACGGATGATTCAGCCTCCTCTCTGATCTCCCCGCCCACCCGCCCCCAACTGAATGCCCCCTAAAGCCCACAGGTCTGGCCAGGAGCGGACCCCAGACCAGATACCCAGAGAGGAGACGGGATGAAAAAAGCCTCCCCTTTGAAGTCCACGAAAAAGTCGATGGCCTCTTTCATGACCGCCCGTCTTTCAAGTGCACGCTGTGAAGGGGGCCCCGGCAATCCGCCCCCCCCTCCCAACGTTAAAGACATAGGAAGAGAGAGGGAGAGGATTGCGAAAGGCAAAGCTCACCTTGCCACTCTTTGGCAGCGTAACTTGGGACCGGAGGATCGGTTTTTCTCCTAATTTAGGCATCCGCAACAAATGCAGGAAAAATCTAATCGCATGTGCCTGAGGAAGATACTGTGGGAAACCAAACACCCCAAGAGAACCTGGAATGAACTCCAAGAAGCCCCTGTGATCAGGAAATGAATCCCAGCGCTGTCGTAGGGCGGCGGACGCCTGGTAACATAAGTACCGGAGCCCTACCCGATGAAGAACATACTCGAGAAGGATAAAAACTACGAATCTGAGATGCTTCATAGCTAGATGAGGAATGAACCAGAAGAAATCCAAGAAGGCCGCAGACAAGCTCTGACACCTTAAGGTCCAGGAACAAAACCTAAAACCATTAGACAAAGGAATAAAAAATCCAAGATCCCCATAAGATAGGGAAACACGCTGTAAGAACCTTGAAGGTCCAGGTACTAATACTAAAGGCTTTAGAACCCAGGAACCTAAAATCCAAGAAGCTCAGAAGAGGACAAACACACTTTAAGAGCCTCAAAGGTCCGGGCACAAACCATCACGCCTTTAGCACCTAAGAACCAAACATCTGAGATGAGAAACACACTTTAAGAACCCTCTTGGAACTGAGACAACTGGCAGAAGGGCTGAGCATGTGGGGGACGGTGAGACGGAGTTGGACAAAGACAGGAGTGTCTGCGCTGCACTCGGGATGGGGGGGGCAGGTGAAGGTGGCGGGGGGGGGGGGGGGGGGGGCACTCAATGGTGGCTTCGGAACACAACTTTACAAGCAAGCTGTGAACCTATGGGATGCCACATCATCGTCGTTATTATTGTTATTATTCATAGCATTATTTATAAATATTATCACAACATTCAAACAAGCTTTGGCCGTGGCGTTAAGAGCGGACCGCAGAGACATTTGCAAGAGTAAAGAAATCCCCATTATTCTACAAAAAAAAAAAAGCAAAACAAAACAAAGGCCAGGCCTTAAAGATAGAGAGAGATACGCAACATCACTGGGTGGGTCGGCCTGATCCGGGGTTTCGGGGCACGGAGGGGGGGGGCGGGTCGGGGGTCAGGGGTCGGGGGTCGGGGGTCGGGGGGGGGGTTAAGGATTCAGGCCGTACATTCAGGGAGGCAATGTTAATCTTTGGTATTACGATGGGATTCTACAGCTAAAAGTGCCCATCAGAAAAAGTCTTCAGTTTCACACAGACATACAGAGCATTGTTAAATAAATACTTACAGTATATAGATAGCATAAATAAATAACCAAATAAATAGAGGAAAGAAAAAAGAAAAACAATAAATACACAAATTCAGTAATAAATACATTGATCAGATCAGCAATTGCATTTGAGACGTTGTTGGTTTGATTTAACTATTGGCTATAAGGAGGCGTGTTAAAGCCGTTCCTTTGTGGACCAAAAAAATGACCTTGTACGTCAGCGGGGCTGAAACAAACTGCCCCGCGCTTCCATCGTGCTTCTATAAATAGAGCGATGTGCTTGAAATCTGTACAAAAAAGGGCTGAAAGAATCACATTCCTCCATTTTCTAGACATCTGTAAAAAAAAAAAGAAAGGTTTTGTGATTGAGGTGTTATCTGGAGGTGAGTGGAAAGACAAAATACTACAATGTCACTATACATTGTGTCGCTCTTCACCGCGGAGCCTTCGAGTTCGATGGTTCTTTTTCATTTTTTCACTTCTTTTTGTTTTTGGCTTTGATTTGAGAGTCGAAAAAAATGGCTGTGGAGCTTTCGATTGGAAGCTCAGTCAGAGTCTTAAAGCTAGACAGTTGCACCGACGAGTCCGTTTCTGCATCCTACTTGTGTTTATTGATTCCGGCCCGGCGTGCGAGATGCGGCGCGCCCCCCCCCCCCCCCCCCCCCCCCCTGAAACCTCTGATTCATTCAAGGCGGGACCGTCTTCACAAAATGCAGGAACGGTTCCTGTGAAGGGTAAATGATTGACAGCTGGGAGTCTCGGACGCTACGTAACCCTCCCGATAATTCCCGGGCTACGAATCTCGGAAACACGCCATCCAGTCCTGGGAACCGTCACCATGGAAACACATGCTAAGAAAGGAGAATTGGGTTCATCGGAAAAGAAGAAGAAAAAAAAACGCGTTTCTTTCCTCTTTCACCTTGATTCTTGAGGAAAAAACAGAATCAAAAGGACATCGGGGGAGGACTAACGTCTTTGGATGATGGTGAACACTTTGATTAAGAAGATACACAATGGAGCTCGCCGCCTGTGAGCGAAACGGCACCTCTTGATTCTCCACATTTGGAGAGACGACAATAGATTAGAAGGTACACCAAAAAATGCATCCTCCTGTAATACCCTCATTATCTCTAATCTAGATAACCAAAATAATGCAATGAGATGGCGTCTATGTAAGGGTGTGAGTCAAATCATCTTTGCACCCTGGACTATACAAGCAGGGCCTCTCACCCTGCGGTCATATCACTCTGGGTTATCGCCCCCCTTCTATTTCAAGGGAGCGATCGACTTTGGTTGGGAAAAGAAATGCTTCATCCTCGTAACACCACCTACAACGGCTCGGCTCCGTCGCTCCTTCTGATAACGAGGAGGACATTTAAGACGGCTGATCTCTGCCTAGACCAGTCTACGTGCCCCCCTTGCTCCCTTCGGTCGCCCCTCCTCCCCGCCGCGCCTCCCCCCCGGCGGTCCGTCATCATGCCGTGCTGCAGGACACCGCGGAGGAGGAGACGCTGGAGCCCGAGGAACCCGTGGAGGACGGGCGGCCCTCGTCGGCCCACTTGTTGACGTTGCGTCGGCGGGCGTTCATGAAGAAGTTGCTGACGGTGGAGAGCTCCAGGCCCAGCTGCTGGGAGATGGTGATCTGCAGCTCTTTGGTGGGGCGGTGGTTCTCCCTGAAGATGGCCAGGAGGGTGCGGCGCTGCAGGTCCGTGAAGACCAGCCGCGTGCGCTTCGGGCCCTGGTTGCGCTCCAGCTTGCTCTGCTCCTGCTCCTTCCGCTTGCAGGCTGCAAGCAGATGGGGGAGAAGAAGAAGAAGAAGAAGAAGAAGAAAAAAGGTCAGCTAACGGAGCGGCTGGCTAACTAGGACAAATGGATTAAGAGGAGGGAAAGTGGATTTGTTGAAAGAAAACAGATTAGCTAAGCAACTTTGATTAGTTAAAAGAGATGAATCAGCAGCTTGTTTCGTTGTGCAGTAAAAGAATCAAGATGTTCAACCCATCACATCCTATTTACAGTGAGCCGCTGTGGGCTGCTGGGAAGAAATGCTTCATTCAGGCCAAAGCTCTGTGTGGTTTTTCATTACACTCTTCAGTGTGTTTCTGTACACGTGTCTGGCCTGGAGACAAAGTGCAAAATGCGCCGTTCCACTAATAATATATTCCAAATAATTATATCCAAACGTACAAAGTGATGCGTCCTCAGTTGCTGTGACGTGACTTCTGCAGCTTATTTGTTGCTGGAGAACGTATTGGTTCTGGCTTTTACGTTTTAAAGTGCAAACTAAAACAGAGAATATAACAATAAGGCCAAAGAATACACCCAGAAACATATATTTTTCATGCCACAGAGGAAACATTATCTCAATGTGAAAGTCGGCCATGTTGGAACTTTTTAAGCGGCGATAGAGGTGATGAGGTCTTCTGGTAATTTGTTTTTTAATGCCGGTCTCGCTTCCACCGACCTCAAAACAACAAGGTCTGGGTTAAACACCGCTGCAGCTGCAGCCACCCGTCCAATTATGTAATCAATATTTCCTCAAAAAAAAAAGAGTCTGCGGTTTCAGAAGAAAAGGACGTTCGGCGGAGAGGAAGGGGAAAAAAAAAAAGCCTGATGATTGTACGAGCTCAGACTCCATTTTGAGAATCAGACGAGCATTTTGAATTCAGGCCGCACGTCGCTGTCTGCAAATCCATCGCTGACCCTTTCACCTCCAACACGCTGTAATTCTGTATTTACAGGAAACACAACACCAACCTCTGCCTTGGTGTACGAGCCACACCCCCCCCCCACCCTTTCTCCTTCCATCTCCATCTCCTGCCTCTCCTCTTTCCCTTAGTGGACACTTCAACATCATTAGTTTCTCATGAAAGTCATTTACATGTGGCGGCAGTGAGTGAGTAATAATCACTTTAGGGGGAACTAATTTATTTTCTATTAAAGCCGGGTTGCGTCCTGGGTGAGTGAAACAAGCGGAGTCATCATTGCCCCGGGTGTTTAGAAGCCTTAAGTGGACTAAAACATATTTGAGGGGAGTCGTGCAATTACCTAAATGCACACTTTTAAGAGGTTTCAATCAGAGCCGTGAGCGGCCGAGCGACTGTTTTGCTGATGGTATCAAATGTGTTTCTGAGTGTAAGCACTGTTGTATGTGCAGACAACACAACAGGGCATGCACATCAGCACACACACACACACACACACACATATGTGCAAAGGGGGGACCAGTGGATTGGGGCTGGACCAAGTCTGAAAATGATTTAAAAAAAACGTTTTCTTTCTATTTGGCTTCATATGATGAATGTTTTTAATGGAGCTGCAATCATTATTCTACTAATTGATGAGTCCTTCTACGGAGGGTTCCATTTTGATATTTGATTAATTAAGAACATTTTCAGGCAAATATGTTGGCAGATTGTGTTTTCAGCCTCTCAAAGATGGAGACATCGGGGTTTTTTTTAAATCCTATTTAAATGAAAAATTTTTTGTTTGGATTGACAAAACAATATATTTAAGTCATCACCCTGGACTGAGGTCATTTTTCCCCTATTTGCTGACATTTTATGGACCAAAACTATTATATCAGCTATTTGAGAAAATGATTGGCAGATTAATCGATGATGAAAATAATCTTTTAATTTAAACTTTATTTATTTGAGAATTGAATTAGATTTTAATCCACGATATATCAGAAAAATCAATCAAGTTCTTGAATGTCATATTTTCTCTGGAGAGATTATTCAAACCTGCTTCCTTCCTAAATACATTTTGTCTGCACACGTTTTGCAGATTTAAGTGTCTGTATAGTCCGACAATGCAGGAAAAGGCGGAATGCAGCAAAGGAATCTCATAAAAATATCACCTTATTTTAAAAATCTTGCTGCACTGGCAGATTTCCTGAGTTTCATCTCTTACTGTTGAACAAAATGATTTGATCAAAATGAAGAAATCAAACAGCACCAATAACCTTGAATTCCCATATTTCAAACCACACAAACACACACACACACACACACACACACACACACACACACACACAGTCATATTCAAACATCGTGCTGCAGACATACATTATATAAACCACAGCTGCCTTTTTTTTTTCTTTCTCCCTCTTCTCAAAAACAGCGCTGAGTCGATCGATTGATTGGCTTACATCTTCCCATTGAGAAACAGCTCACGCGGCGAGGGATGATGTTTACTGTATGACCGGCTCTTCACTCCTCAAACTCACAGCGGAAAATTTCTCTCATTAGCCGAAGCGCTTGAGAAATAAGTGTGACCTTACTGCCGTCTTTTCCACACGAGTGCCGTCACAACAGCAGCGTCAGTGACGGGTGGCGGCCCGCGTGTGTGTGTGTGCGTGTGTGTGTGTGTGCAGACGTGTTGGACTTTGGCGGCGGTGGCATCCAGCTGAGTTTCTGAAACTCAAGCACTCAGCATGAATAAATCTGGCTGTGATTTCCCCGTGTCTGCGATCATTATGCGAGGGAAATGTTTTGACTGGGGGGGTGCGCCCTCGTCGGCTCCAGATTACAGGTGCCTCAGCTCGTTTGCATTTCTGAGAGTTATTGACCCACGCATCATTAAAATCCAAACGGGCCAAGATGTCAGCGGCATGTCAATATCACTACAAGTGAAATTATTCTTTTTTTTTTTCACCCGACGCTACATTTCTCAGCGGCGTTACACCGCTCCACCGTCGCCGATATTTCTGGAGTTGGGGGTTGGGAGGCGAGCTGCGGCTGAGGCCGATATACAGCGGTGCACTCTCGCCTCATGTAGTAATGAAAGGGATGACATGATGGTGCTGGCTAGCTCGCTCGCAAGCGTGGATTTATGGCCTGTTGGAGTCGGGGTGTCCTCCTCCTCCGCCTCGTCCCCATCCGCCTCGTCCCCATCCGCCTCGTCCCCGGCTCCCTTTCTGACCATCATAACGCCGAGCATTAAGTAAATGCTTCCCTGTGCTGTAATCATGTGTAAAAGGCGCACGATTAGCATGCTATAAATCGCCGGCGTTGGGGCGACTCCTGGAGACATAAATATTCCCCCATAGGCTTCTTATGATCGTGGGAACGGCCCCTAATCGTGATGTATGCCCCTGTCTCGTGTTGCTGAAACGTGATCGAAAGCCCTTTCCCTCCCCCCCCCCCCCCCCCCCCCCCCGGCGACTCAAACTACCCCTGCACCCCCGCACACCACCAGCCCCTCCCGGCCAGAAGAGCCCCCCCCCCCCCCCCCCCCACGCCCGCCCCCGCCCGCAGCCCCCAGCCCACCCCCTGCTGATTTCTTGGGCCAGGGGCTGATAGAAATTATTGATTAAATCTGTGCAGCTCAGACTCCTCGACCCACAGAGGCTGGTTAACCCCTTCAGCGCCGGAGTAGCGGGAGCTGGAGGAGCTAGATTTAAAAATAAAACAAAACAAAAAGAAAACAACCGAAATAAATAAAGAACTCTGTTTCGTTAGGTGTTGGCCGTGTAGGCCCGCTATGCAAATGGCAAATCGGCTTTGACCTTTGAGCCTCGCCAGGCAGAAGGCGAACTGTAGGCAGCGAGAGGTGGACGAGGAGCCGCGGCTTTCAATTGCTGTGGGGGTGGTGCAGGCGCTGGAGCCGACACGTAAACCGCATTGACCTTTCTTATTCATTTAGACCTTTAGTCAAGGGCTTCGGCCATCATCTTTAAAGTTATGGTCTGTGAACCCCCCCCCCTCCACCCAGCCCATCCAAACCCTCCTTGACTTTAAGTGTCAGAGCACGGCCATGTGGTCTTTATCCTGCCTTCTCCTCCGACTAAATCCTGATTGCCTCCTCCACAGCCGGCGGGTTGGGTGAGAGATGCATCTCATATACAGCAGTAATCCATAGAGCAAACACACAAACACACACGCACACACACACGAGGTACTGCGGATAAATCCGAGGGACCACCTCCTTCGTGTTTAGCAAAGCGTCTCTGCAGAATGAAATTAGTGAAAAAATAAAAAAAAATGAAGAAATACAAAATGGCAGCGGCTGCGTTTTCCAAAAGTGGTGTGAAGCAGCGGCGCGCAGGTATGGAAATAACACGAGACCGGAGGGCCTTCCTGTGTATTTAAGCGACTGCCGCATTAAGGAGGATCATCTTCAAACTTGAGGCGTGGAGCAGAGGGCACTTGAGCTATCTTCAGACTGGGGAGCGCAGGGCACCACGCATTCTAATTCCAGTCTCGGCTCGCCGATGCGGCCGAGGTGTGTGTGTGTGTGTGTGTGTGTGTGTGTGTGGGCAAGAAGTGCTGCTCTTTCCCATGGAAATCAATACAGGCTTGTAATTAAACAAAAGGGGGTTGGCCAGAAGAGGGGTGGGGGGGGGGGGGGAGCAACAACCCCCTTCGGAAAGAAGGTTACGTAGAAAAAGTGCCGAGCTGTCCAAATCGTGGCTTTGCCAATAACTAAATATGCAATTGCAGAGTGTGTGGGAGCAGCGCTGTCCGACATTAGCACACTTCTCTGTGTAGGGGACCTACATTTTTCACAACCCCGATTGATCGGCTGCTCCGGCGCGTTAAAAAAATAAGGTTTGGGAGAGAGAAGGAGACGAAAAGATGCTGCGAACGAAGACAGCGTGATTCGCTGATTAGACGAAAACAAATCTGCTCAAATGGGAACAAAAGACGTGTTTTTTTATCACAATGATTAAGGTCTTTTTTGTCCTTGTGTGACAGGAAGAGGCACTTTGCATATAAAGTCGCAGGATTAGATTCATCAAGAGCCAACATTTCTGTTAAATTGCAGAACAAAACCCCAACCAAACCCCCCCCCCCAGATAACTCATCTTTAGATAAGCGGCCCGGGTGCGACGTACACATGTGCTCTCAGAGCCGAACAATCAAGGATCAATAATTGTGAAGGGATTGCAAGAGTGCACAATCATTACCTATGAACTCTTTTGTGTTGTTGGGCTTAATCAGCGGCGCTGCTGACAGAGAGCGAAAACGCGGTGATCAAGTGGGCAGACTCACACACACGTAGTCCTCACAGACCCCCGCAGTGAGCAGACCACTCACACACGCACACACACGCAGACACACACACGGGCGCCTGTGCTCGTCTCACATTACTGTGTTCGCTCGGATCTCTCTCTGTGCTCCGTGTATCAGATGGGCCCTCGGTCCCTGTGGAGGGACAACACTGTAACGGGGCCCTGAACAGCGCGTGCTGTCGCGTCGTCAATCCACTTTCCCCCGAAGAATATTAAATGTCAGGCAGCAGATTACAATGTGCCTTTCAGGAAGAAGAAATCCTGCAAAATCTGCATCAATACTATCAGCCTCACGAACAAATATATTAATATATTTATAATCATTAACATCAATTTATTACTTCATTCTTTATGTTTATCAAATGTGAGAAAAAAATTGAAATGATTAATTTGCAAATAATATAAAACAATGCAGGTGCAGTAAATTCTCCCATTTGAGGAGCATTGAGTGACTTTCATTGATTATAAAAATAGATTCATTTTCTCTGCAATAACCTCTTGTATTCCCAGAGATGAAGACTTTTGCAAACCTGCGAGCAGGGCAGCGTTTGTATTTAGCCCGGCGGTAATTGCCCTCGGTGACGACGTTGATAAAAGACGTCTGGCAGGAGCTCAAGTCTCATTTGCATCAGCCGCCTTGCCAAGCTCAACTTGCACTGCTCGGATTAATCAATTGTTTCAGAGTGGCATACCTGCGCAAATTATTTCGTGGGCTTCAAAAAGCGATTAAATTGCCAGCCGCTGCTCCCGCTGATCTTCATGGTTCATTTAAGAGGAGGGCAAATGTCTGTGGCTTTGTATTTTTTTTTTTTTTTTTTTTACTGTACAAATCAATAAGAGCTGTTTGGGAGCAGAGTAAACAAAGGAATGGCACATATGGCCGTCTCCGACTCAAACTGTCCTCAATGTGCTGCTAAGTTCCCATTGTCCAGGCTGTTTGAGACAATGGACGAACCAGTGGCGCGTTCACAGCGGCGTGAGGAGGAGGAAACATCAGTGTGATGCTTTTGCTTTTCCTCATGTCTCACCCTGAGCTGCATACTGATTGCTGGACAGAAGAATTTTTGCGCGTGTTTGTGTTTGGAAGACATGGAGAAGGAAGGTGTTTGGGGAAAACAAGGAGAGAGAGTGTGTCTGTTTGTTGTTTCTCTACGTGTGTGCGTGTGTGTGTGTGTGTGTGTGCGTGAGGCAGATAGAGAGCAAAGCCAGGTCTTACCCTCCAGCCGGAGCGAGGCCATTCTTTGAAACTCGGGTTCCTGCAGCCAGCGGGACATCCGCTTAAAGGTCTCGCGGCCGGACTTGAGCTTGCCCCAGGGCTTAGGGTTCCTCAGGAGGTCAGACAGCGTGCCCTGTGACCTACACAGAACCCTCTCGGCGAAGATGGCCTGGGGGATGCTGTACCTCTTCAGCTCGGTGATGATCCTCTGGGCCACGTCCCTGGTGTTGATCTCCTCCCCGCCGCCGCCGCCCTGCGAGCCCGGCAGCATCCCGTCGCCGGGCGAGGACAAGGCGGACGACGAGGAGTGCAGGTGCTCGCCCATCTTGGAGGCCTGCTGGCTCGGGTGGTGGTGGGGCTGGTAGTGCTGGCCGTAGATGTGAGGGTGGTGGCCCGGGGCGTGCTGGTGAGCCTCCATCTTGTTCAGCTGATGCCCCACGGACACGTCGCCCGCGCCCAGGCCCGGTGGCGACATCTCGCGCCCGAAATCGGACGTCCGGCAGAAGAGGCTCCCCCCGTGGACGTCGTAGCCGGCGTGGAGCATCTGGCCCCCGTTGCCGTTGGGGCTGTTGCCCAAGCTGCCGTAGCCGTGCATGGAGGAGGTCAGGCCCGAACCCGTGGACGGGGGCGACAGGCTCTGGGACATGGCCAGGTCCTTGCCGTATGGGTTGTAGAAGTTGGTGCCGAGGCCCCGGTCCTCGCGCATGAGAGTGAAGCTGCCGATGACGTTGCTGACGGGGAGGCAGGGGTGGTGGTGGTGGTGGTGGTGGTGGAACTTGTCGTCGAAGGGCTGCAAGGGGGTCAGGGTGGTGTAGGTGCTGCCGGAGCTCGACGGGGAGTCGCCGCTGTAGCCCAGGGCCGACATGGAGTGGTCGAAGCCCGGCGGACGGGGCTCTGGCTCCAGGGACATTGAGGGGCCCCCGAGGGAGGGCCTGGGGAAGGCCGCCGAGAGGTCTCGCGAGTGCAGCATGGCCCTGCCGTCCTGGCTGTGGGCCAGATCGGGGTGACCATGAAGGGACATCTCCCCTAGACCCCCATCCATCTTCAAAACCTCGACAAATAAAGGATGTTTTTCTTGCACCCCCACCCTCCCCCCTCCTTCCCCCTGCCCCCCTCTCCTCTTCTTGTTATTGTTGTTCGGCAGCGGGGGCTAACAGTCTGGAAAGTCTCTCGTTACACCAGACTATGGATTTATTGATTTGTGAATTAATTGATTTCCGGGCTTGGGGGGGGGGGGGGTCTAATTAATTATCTGATAACGTTAATTACTGTCTTCAAACTCCCTCAAACTCGCAGAAAACGAGTTGGCGAATCGCATCAGGAGCCGAAACCGTGATTTGATTCTGCTCCGCGCTGTGCGCTGATCCGCTGCGTTCCTCCCGCGGCAGATGCTTCGCTTTCTGTGCCTGCTGTTGAGACAAGACGGGCGCCGTTACTCCGGCTGCATTTTCACAACTTTAACCGTCACAGAAAAGGGGGGGAAAAAAAAAATATATATACATATATATATATATTTCGTCTCATTGGATTCAAACGCCAATTTACACTCGTGCATTTACCGAACAATAACAGAATCGGTGGAGATTTTTACCCCCACACGAGAAAACACCGATGTTTGAATCACTTGCACCAAATCTCATCGAATTCTCAGATGAGATTTTTTTTCTTTCTTCCCCTTCTCATGCAAAGTTATGAACGCAGAAGAAAGCGCGCATGCGAGACGCCGGACATTAAGGTGCGTGTAAAGTGTGCGTATTTACGCCGCATGTGATCAATCCGCACGATGCGTTTACTAAACTATCAAACGCGATGGCGGCGCAGAGACACACACGCGCGCGCACACACAAAACGCGTGTAGACGCGAGGGCTCCCGTGTTCCTACCTTTTTATGATCCACCTCTCAGAGCGCGTCCGCGGCCGTCGTCCGTCCTGTGCATATCTCCATCTGCGTCGCCGAGCAGCCCTGCAGATTCACACAATTGGTCCGCCGCGCGCCCCGGGGTGCCACGTTCACCGAGAACAGAGTGAAAAGAAATACACCCATCCGCGGTCACAGACGGAAATCTGTGTCTGTTACTCGCACGCACTCGTCGTTCCCGATTCTCCGGGTCTTTGTTTTCCTCTCCAAAAAATCTCCGGGTCTGGAGCCCCGTGTGTGTGTGTGCGCGTTTTTTTCCCTGCTCCACACTAGCAGCGCTCCTCTTTTTCTTTCATTATCTCGTGAGATTTTCCTCCTCCCTCCCTCCCTCCCTCCGCCTGCAACTTCATCGATCTCACCACCAACTCTTTCTCCTCCCCCTCCTCCTCCTCCTCCTCGGTCCTACACCCCAACCCCCCCCCCCCCCCCCCCCCTCCCCTCCTCCTTTGCTCACATTGACTCTCCGCTTTCAGTGCGTCACGGCCTTAAAAATCTGACAGATGTGCGATGAAATTCCTACTCCAATTAACCCTTTCTCTCCCGGGGGGAGGGGGAGGGAGGGGTGACTGGGAGGGGCGGGGGGGGGGGGGGGGGAGGTGGAGGTGGAGATGCTCCCTTTCTCATAACCCCACAGGTTAAGCCTACTTGAGCTGATTGCATGCACAATTTATGAATTATGTGCGCACATGCCGGTCATTCTGCTGCGCTCGGCTGTTTATTGGATCTGATCAATGGGGGTTTCACGAGCTGCAGTTAATGTCGTTATGTCCTTTTTTTGGAGGGGGGGTTACGTGACCAACGAATCTGTTGTTGCTTATTGTCACTCTGAAGAACACGGATATGGAATTAAAGATGATATAAACATTTCATTTTTTTTCTTCCGTTATAATGATTTTTATTACGTAGAGTTTTGCACATATTCTGGGTTCTATTTCTGATTTCTTGTATCAGTTGAAGGATTAAATTAGAAGCCCATTGGGTTATTAATGGTATATAAATCACCTGGCTTATTGACTCAAAAAAACAAATCTATCCATCTCCACTCTGCTGCGCGCCATCTCCACACCAAAACGTTGTGTTTATTGTATTTACGTGTAGTTTTTCGGACTCCTCCTGTGCAACCTTCCAGGAATAAATGCTGTCAAGTGACGCTCGTGTTCAGCCAGCTCTTAATCAGCACTCAGCACGCGCCTCCATTCACTCAAGCAGCCATCACTTCAGTCTGGAAAGTCCCTCAACAAGATCAATGCCCCCCCCCCCCCCCCCTCCAAAAAAAACTCGACCTGGTGGTGCATCAGCATGCACGCGCCAATGCACCCGATGCCCTGAATTGCGTGTACCTTTCAGTTAGCGTGCCACGTGTAGGCCATATGCTTGGATTTGTGTGCATGCGTGTGATCACAAATCTGCCCCCCCGAGAGCGCGCATGCGGGCCTCTCGTGTGAGAATAGTGTCCGTGCGTGTGCATGTTTGCGTATATCCTCCTGTTTGTGCCAGCTATCCCCTCGTGTGAGTGTAAAAAAAAAGCATAAATATACATCTAGTCTGCATTTCACAGGCCCGTGCGTGCGTGTTGGCCGCGCGCGCCGCAGCCGGGGAGAAACACCGACACGACGCAGCAGCAGGGAGGCAGAGCGCATACTAATCATATCTGTCTGTCAGTTTAATTTTCAGAGATGAGCAGTTCTGGCGTTTGGAAAACAGCGGAGCGGGTTGCGCGGTGTGGGACCGCCGGCTTCCCGGAGCAGATGCTGCCCTATCGATCCGCCCCGCGCGCACGCAGCCAGCGCGGAGGGAAGGATGCGCGTACGGATGGCGAGTATGGCTCGAGGTAAAAATGGTCAACGGCTGCAGAGCGAAAGAAAAAAGAGGTCGGGGTGAAAGTTCACCTTCTGTGGCTGGAAAATCCACGGAGGGAAGGTTGACACCAGAGCTGTAGGAGCCCCCCCTCGACGATCTGCGGCCCTGAAGAGAAACCGACATCCAGAGGGGTGTTCCGGGTCCGGTTTTGTGAAAGAAAAAAAAACTTTCGCAGTTTGGATTCAGATACATCTTTCACAAACTGATGACTCTGATTCCCCAATGTAGTTCTCAGCTCGCCAGGCCATTTCCATTTGATCCGTAGGTCTCCCCATCAGCAGCAACATCACAGGAGGACCTACTCCACCATCAACACCGGGAATAAATAAATATTCTCACATTTTGAGACATTTAGCCGCAGCTCTCTTAACACAGAGGCAGCCAATGTGCGTCAAATACGCTTTTAATCCAAAGCCAATATCGAGCGTGTTTTTAGATTCGAACCATTTAGCTGATGCTTCCATCCTGAGGGACGCGCATCAAATCCCGCATCGCCAATATTACAAGCAGCCAATAGCGAGGGGGTCAGGGGTCAAATGGCATGGCTGTGACCGTAAAATGACCATATAAGTGCACTGGAAAATGACAAGAATATAAGCCTAAGAGAATTGCAGAGAAGGGGCGGGGGGGGGGGGGGGGGCTCTCCGTCGGGATGCCCATGGGGACTTGTCGAGATTCATAAATTCCTATTTTATTTTTGGAAAAAAAATGGGCGAAGGCAGGGGGTTTTTAACAGGGGGGAAATTTTGCCCCCCCCCCCCCTCCCGAAAAATAAATATACAAGGCCTGCAAAGCTGCCCGGGCTGCAGCAGCAAAGGTCGGAGAGGAAATACACAGTGCGACATTATTCATCCTGTGCTTTTACACTCGCTCCCCCCAAATCCGCTGTTTAATCACCGAGTAAACGTGATCACTTATTGGCAAATGATAATGGATGGAGCGCACGCGCGGGGTTTGCCGTTTTGAATGAGATATTGACTCCCTTGTTTGCAGCTCGGACAAAAAAAGGGGAGAAAGCATCTAAACGACGGTTTGTTTTATTGCTGCGTTAATCAAGGGAACAATAATATCATGTGAGGGATCAGAAGAGGAACCAAACAGCTTCCCGTAGTGTCCTACTCAGGACTGTAAAATGATCAGAAGGATACATTCATCACATGCATTTAAATTGCAAAGTATAATAATAATAATAGCAATAACCTTCACGCTGTGGCAAACACAATGCTAATGTTGTGCTTCCTGCTGGGATTTTCTAAATAAACCGTTTAGTTCATCTAATCTGTATATTCCGTGCATTATTTAATCACTCACACACGCACACACACACGCACATAAGCCTGAAACTGAAACCTGAAACCCTGAAACTGAAAACCTGCATGAACACACTGCTTTTCTGCCCGTGCAGTGTGTGTGTGTGCGTGTGTGTGTGTGTGTGTGTGTGTGTGTGTGTGTGTGTGTGTGTGTGTGTGTGTGTGCGTGCGTGCGTGTGTGTGTGTGTAAGAGAGAGCGGGTGTACTGCGTATGTATACAGTACAAAAGACAACACAAGTTAAATCCCCACGTTATTTATTGTCATATAATAATAATAATAATACATATACATATATGGCATTCCGTATGCTCCTCTTTTATTTTGAAAGGGAAACAAAACGTTTACACTGGGATGAAAAAAAGTCAAATGAAGTTATTCAACACTTAGTGACCAAATTTACACAAACAACTAAAAACAACTTTCAGAATAAAAGCACCCACAAGAGAAAAAAAATGCACTACTGTAGCTAATTTCACTGTCATCACCACGGCAACCGTGGGAATTACCCAACGCAGCCTATAGCCTATATACATTTCACTGAAGTGTTAGAGATGACTTTTGGTAAATACTGGGCAGCCAGTCCGTGACGCAAAGCGTTTCAGGGAACACAGCAAAAACACTGCCGACGTCTCCCTTTTGAACTTCCTGTAGTCTGTGTCCTCCACGCGGTGATTATAAAATAATGCAAATGTGATTTCTGCTTGTTAGAGGGCATCACATTTCAGGTTAATTTTAAACTTCAGAATCAATTTAATTTCCACTCAAAAGTCAAAATCAAATCCAGATTCTCGCTGTGACTCTAAAGATGTTTTATTTACTTGTTTGGCTCTTCATTTAATAAAGTTCACTTTTCAGCTGGTGCCGTTCAAGTTATATTTTATTTTATTTTTTAAAATAAGTTTTACAGCAGAAAGCTTAACTAGACTACACTACAGTGAAAATTTAGTTTGTATAAAACGTCACAGCTGCAGGTGCGGAGTACAAACTACGAAAATAAGCATGTAACATTTATTTTAACTCTGAAATCTAATAACCTGTGTAACGAGGTCGTTATTCACATTTCATATTATTGTGATTGTACTTTCTATCGTGATTTAGAAGACAGTGATGAAAGTGACTCAGCACTAAAATGTTTATTTTTATTTCTATAAAATATTATATTATTTAATAAGAATAAAAACACGTAACCTGTACTACCACGTATTTGTAAATACTATTCATACATATACATATATTTGTTTATATTTTACTTTAACCTGTCGGATATGTTTTGTTCAGAGACCATAGTGAATCAATTATATGAATACAATGCAAATGTAATATTGATTGTAAAAACAAACAAAAAAAACGTATTAATGCATTTTTGTTTCAATTCTCTTATCATTTAAACACTAATCTAATTTGAAATAAATACTTTTACAAGATGGTATAATGCCAATGTGTGCCTCTGACACTCTTCTGATCCTCACTTCCTTTTTTCTTGTTGTCAACTGCCTTTTATATTTCCCCTCTCATCCCAAACCAATCGATAAAATAAATTATTACCACGTGACCTGGCGTTACACAGATTGCATTGTGAATAATCAATAATTCAATCAATTTAACATGATTGGAATTGAAATAAATTAATAATAATAGTAATAATACTAACACCAATAATAGCAATAATAGCCACATTGGCTCTAACATCGAGGCTCACGTTAACCTGCGGAACATGAATATTGATGATTATGAGGTTAAAAACGCGTCTGAACAATTATGCAACAATTAAAGTAGAATTCTTATCATTGGATGGATGATTTTTTTCCTATTTATTTTTAAAGGGCTCGATGTGAGCACGTGACCTGCAGGCCTCCGGTTTATCTGCATTAACAGCGCGTGGCCTGCTGCACACACACACACACGCACACACACACACACACACACACACACACACACACACCTGAGCATCTCACAGAACACATTGTGATAAACAGCAGCTCCTTAAAGCGGATGTTTTCATATTATTACAATATGAATACAGTTGTCATTTGATATTATTTGAATATCCTCGTGTATTCACAGCAACATGTTACACTCCGATTCTAAACATACCCCTTCCTCAAAAAAGTAAAATAAAGACCTGAGATGAAATAT